AGAAAGACAGAGAGACAGAAAGAGAAGGGAGAAAGCATCCTCCTAATGGGGTCTGATCATACTGCAATCCTTTCTCCTCCATTTCTTCATCCTGTTGGGATTCTGGTCATGTACACGCATGTACCGGCTTGTTTTCCAAGCTGCCAGGGCTATGATCCAGCTCCCTTAACCACCATGGCATGAAGCCAGCCCAGTTTCCTTATTCTGTCAGCTACTGTGTGAAGGGGACTGACATCATTGACTCTATTTGTGATTTTATTGATTTCTCTTTGTGGAATGAGTTTTCACTTTACATATTCAATATTTTGATGCTTTTATTAGGTGTATACACATATGGTGGTTTTGTCATTTTGATGAGTCAATTTCCTAACCTTCTAAAGTATCTTATAAGTTGTGAAGTCTCGCTTGTCTGATATTAATACAGCAAACCTAGCTTTCTTGCGATTAGTGTTTTGTAGTATTCCTTTTTCCCTTTATCTTTAAAAAATTATCTATTAAAATTATTTATTTAAAAATTTATTTAGTTTAGTATCATTATTTTTTGAATAATTATTTTACTTTTATTTATTATATTTTCCAGTTTGATTAGGCAGAGAGAGAGAGGGAAAGTGAAAAAGCAAGCCACGAGGTCCAGAACTTGAACTTGACCATGTGGGAGTACAGTGCCTTTAACCACCATGCCCCAAATTTATCATTATTTAATTTTCTACAGGGCATGTACATGTGCATGTGAGAGAGAGAAAGTGAGAAAGCAAGCCACTAGATCCGAGACTCGAACCATGGTTGTCCATATTGGAGTCCAGTGCCTTAACTACCATGCCACCTGCTGGTACCCATCTCTTTACTTTTAACCTATATGTGTCTTTATTTCTTCCTTCCTGTAGAAAGCACATAGTTGGGTCCTGCATACTCTGCCTTCTAATTAAGGTGTACAAATTGTTGTCTAATATAATTATCTACCTGATCAGCTCTAAGTCTAACATTTTTTAAAATTTTATTATATAATCTTTTTTATATTATATTGAATCAAATATATCTTTACAGTGTATAATATTTATTTTTCCTCACAATTACCATGCATATCAGTCAAGACAAAGCCATTACTATCCACATCATAATCATCAAATAGGTTTTCATCATTTTTTTCAGATTATTATTTATTCTCATTATTGTTTTAAACATTAACTATATATCATTTGGCTTGTATAAAGAATTTACCCAACATTAATTACCTCTCGGATCAGTCCAGCTGAGAATACTATATATGTTATCATCAATCGATAATAAACTGTTTCTATGGCCCACTAAAGTCATGCCTTGCTATCTGTTCTCTTGCTATCCTTCTCTATACTCTTCCCTTCTACCACTCTGTTCCACACTGTCTTCAGCATCCATAACTATTTTCACTGCTTTGATGCCCTCCAATATTTCAATCTCTACCATAAAGTGCAGATAGCCAGTATATATTAAGTGGATATATACAATATCTTTCTTTCAGATCCTGGCTTGCTTCACTCAGCAATAGATCCTTCATATTTGACCCCTTTCAATTGAATGTCAGGGTCTCCTTTTTGTTGTTGTTGTTGTTCGTTGTTTGTTTTGTTTTGCTATTATTCAATAGAGTATATGTGCCACACTTTTTCCATCCATTCATCTGTTTGTGGACATTTAGGTTGGTTCCATGTCTTAGCGACACTGTTTTCCACAGTAGCTGAACCAGTTTACATTCCTGCCAACAGTGTAGGAGAGTTCTCCTTTCACCACATCCCCACCAACACTTAATCATTTTTTGTATTTTTAATCTTTGCCATTCTGATAGGGGTTAGGTGGTATCTCATGTGGTTTTAATCTGTATCTCCCTTATGATGAGGGATGTTGATCTAAGTCGAACATTTTGTTCTGTTTGTCGCAATTGTTATTTTTTTTCCCTCTTATATTCTTAGATTAAAGCAGCATTTCTTAATCCATTTTTTTCTTCTATTTGTTTACTAGGTACAAGTTCATGTTTTTCCAGTGTCTGCTCTAGGGTATACAACATGCATTTAAAAAAACATGTGCCAGGGGCCAGAAGGTGACATGGTGACACTCCCACATGGCCAACCACAGTTTGAATCCCTGACCTGTGGCTTGCTTTCTCACTTTCCCTCTCTCACTGTGTCTTTCTCTGGTCAAATTAAAATCCATAAATGAATAAATAAAATTAAATAAATAATTCTAAAAAATGTGACTTTATATATAATGCAAGATACTTTTAATTATGTATTGCATGTCCATCTATTATTATTGTCATTTATTAACATAGACATGTTATAAGCATCACAATATATTTGCTTTTGAAAGTTAATTACTTTTTTAAAGAAGTCTTTTATAATTATAAATGCCCAACACTTAAAATATTTGCTAAATTTTATTAATAGTTTTGTTTTATTATTAATTCCTAAGACATTCAATTAAATAGTATATATTATAACATTTGGTCATATTCATTATGGCAGTTAATTTCAATGTTATTCATTTATAAATCTAGAGCATACTAGATATGTCAGGATAAATAGACCCGAACAGGGAAGGGAGGATCTAGAGGTCTTTTGGAACTGCCCATGAGGTCACATCTCCCCCACACATAGTCCCTTTGTATCTGGGAACATTATCCTACACAAGATGAAGTGGTGTTACAAGGGACCTTATATTAATATAACTTGGAAAATGTTTAATGCAGAGCTTGGTTGCCTTTAAGTAGCCTTTAGCTCATTAACATATTATTTACATTGACTCATAGGAAATTATTATATAACAAGGACCAACAGAGCATGTGTTGAAGTGAGAGGGGAGAAGCTGGGATATAAAAGCACACAATGCAGACATCTCCAGGCTGGTATCCACCTATAGGTTGTTCCTACCTCTCAGGAGTGAACTTTCTTTTTTAAAACCTGTGTCATTTAGTAAGATCAAAAAATCTAGTAAAAACATTCTGACTTAATAAAAGTATTCATATTGGGGCAGCAAGTGGAATGGCGGTTAAGGCACTGGACTCCCAAATGGCTGTCCACATTTCAAGTCCCAAACCTGGTGGCTTGCTTTCTCACTTTCCCTCTCTCTGGGAAATAATAATAATAATAATATTAGTTAATAAAGTTAAATAAATTTTTTAGAGGATTTTGCTATAGGGTACGTGCGCTTGCTGGAAAGACAGAGAGAGACAAAGAGACAGTGAGAATCATCCCCAAGGGGGGATGGCCATGCCACAATCCCTTCTCCTCTATTCTCCTCTCGTGATCCTCGGTATGCACACACACATGCCTGGTGTGAGTTTAAGCCACCAGGTCTGGGACTCGAACTGCGATCAACTATATGGGAGTCTAGCGACATAGCCATTACGCTAACTGCTGGTCCCAATAAAAATTACTTAAAAAATAAAGTATGCATATATATTGCATAATTGTTCACAATAAAATTTAGATATAAAAATTATTTCCCCCAATTTAAGTAATAAAGTGAATTATATACTGCTCTTTTCATGCATGTTTTCCAAATAAGGCAGTTCAAGTATATAAAATTTCAAGACATAAGCCCACTTACATACAAAATCACTATAGGTCACCTAAGTTCAAGCTTATGCAAAAATAATTACAAATTTCGAAAAATATGTCTGAAAAATTTTGTTCTATAAGTAGCATACCAGTATTGTACTTTCATTTTTAACCCTGCTTTGTATTTCCTTTTCCCCTGCTATAAAGCTTTGTTGCTTTGCTATGCTTTTGTCCCTAGGTAGAATGCTTTTGCCTAAGGAGCAAAGAATCAAGATTCTTGTCTCTACTCCTTAACAGATGGAGAGCAGGTTTAACGTTCCTTATTTACATTTTTTTTTTTTTTGAGAGGTTTTCGCTATAGGGCGCATGCACTCTCCAGACAGAGAGAGACATAGAGACAGAAAGCGAGAAATCACCCCCCAGGGGGGATGGTCACCCACAATCCCTTCTCCTCCATTCTCCTCTCGGGATCTTGGGCAGGCACGCACACGTGCCCGGCGTGAGTTTTAAGCCACCGGGTCCGGGATGCGAACCGTGGTCGACTAGGTGGGAGTCCAGCGACATAGCCATTACGCTAACTGCTAGTTCCCAACGTTCCTTATTTTTATCTCTAGCGTTTAACAAAATATATGGCATAAAAAAGATACATGTGAAATAACATCATAAAATTTATCTAAGTGCTATTTTAAGAAATATGTGAACTCTATCGTCTAAGCTTTGGGATTTCATGAGAAGAAACAATTCATTTAAAAAGACTGGCCTGGGGGACCAGCAGTTAGCGTAATGGCTATGTCGCTGGACTCCCACGTAGTCGGGTCGACTGCGGTTCGTGTCCCGGACCTGGTGGCTTAAAACTCACGCTGGGTGCGTGTGCGTGCGTGCCCTAGATCCCGAGAGGAGAATGGAGGAGAAGGGATTGCGGCGTGGCCATCCCCTCTGGGGGGTGATTTCTTTCTGTTTCTCTCTCTCTGTCTGGCGAGCGCAGGCGCCCTATAGTGAAAACCTCTCCAAAAAAAAGAATGTAAACAAACAAACAAAAACACTGGCCTGAGTCTGTCATTATACAGTGCTGCGAGTTTTCTAGAAATGTGACCAGAGATTGAGGAAACAGAACTTCAGAGGGAAAAATGACAGAACTAGCTTTCTACATTAGTCCTTCGGCCAGTCTACAGCAATTCATTAGTGCCTCAACTTCAGATCTTATGAGCCTGAGGAAGAGCCATAAGAGAGGTCAAGGGGCAGCAGACACACGTGGTGTCCCAGAAGACAAAGTTAAAGGTGTTTCAGGATGGAGGGGGCATGGTCAGCAGTGCCTAAACAGGACCAGGATTAAATAAAGTAAGGACTTTAAAGTGTTTTTTGGATTTTGTGACAGAGTTCGGTAAGGCAGGTAGTGGCTGAAAATGAGGCTGCAGTGGCTTTTGGACGAAGCAGGACGTGGGGTGGAGGAGGCAGGTTCTTGGAAACAACATGGACCCAGGACAGGAACTAGAGGAAAGGGTCCTGGGGAGGACACCCCTCTTCAGACCTCTGCCAGAGTCTGAGAGTTCCGACCTGTAGGTGCTGGCTTTCTCAGGGTGGTGGGTTCATCTCCCAGGACGCTGACAACAGGAAGTAGGTTCGAGCAAGTCAGTTCACCCCAAATCGCCCCCACAGTCACTTCGTACAGGCACTAAGTCCGCGCCAGGAGATTCTGGACCCTCGCTCCCTCTTTCGAAGCTACAGGAAGAACCAACTCCCCGTCCCTCCACTACCCTGTCCACTGCCAGTACATACCAGTCTCTGCCGCCTCTGGGCCTCCACTTCCAACTTCCGGGGATGGGGGACCACGTTCACGCTGTGTCTCCGTCAGGGTCCCCCCCTGGGGGTGCTCTGGAGGTTCCGCTGAGGCAGTCTGCGCTGGCCCGTGGGCGCACGTGCGCGGGTCCCCTCGCCCAGTCGGCTCCGAACCGCGTCAGCTCCCCTAGGCAGTTGCCGAGGCCGCTCGGTCGCCAGCCTGGCTGCCTTGCGCAGCCAGGACGTCGTGGAGGACAGCCATGCTACGCTGGCTGCGGGGCTTCGTGCTGGC